TATATATATATATATATATACATTCTTTAAATACGGTATTAAAAGTAAAGAGAAGCGAGCTTGTTAACCTGCGGCTCATCTGTAAAGTGATTTAAATCTGTAAGTCTTAAAGGTTTTCTTCGCACAATGCTAAGCTTACTTGAATTATATTGTTAAATGAACGCTGACACATCTGTTTGATGCGTAGATTAAAAGTAGATTAAACGGTCTTCATCTCTTCTTCGTGTGACCAAAGATTGTTCATCACACAAATTAGTTAATTACGTAATTCGAATTAATCTTTGCCACTGAGATTTTAAGTCTAAATTTTCGTTGTCAAATATAATTTTAATGAACCAATCAGCTTTAGGAAAATATTTTTAAAATAATAAAAAAAATGCCCACCGCCCAATTTGATGGTCCCAGCGCAATCTAAAATTTACCAAACCCTTCAGCACCCCTTGGAAACCCCTGGGGGCGGTACCGCCGCCAACTTTGAGAATCACTGATTTTAAATCATCTCAAGCCTGCCCCTAGCTCTCTAAAAATTTCATAGAGGAAGCAACTCTGTTCATAAAAACCTTAAATACAAGGCTCTTTTCATAATCCTTGCATACAAGACTCTTCCCATAATCCTTGCATACTAGGCTCTTTTCATAAACCTTACATATAAGGCTCTTCTCATAATCCTTGCATACAAGACTCTTTTCATAATCCTTACATATAAGACTCTTCTTATAATCCTTGCATACAAGACTCTTCCTTGCATACACGACTCTTTTCATAATCCTTACACACAAGACTCTTCTCATAATCCATGCATACAAGGCTCTTCTCATAATCCTTACATACAAGGCTCTTCTCACAATCCTTACATACAAGGCTCTTCTCATAATCCTTGCATACAAGGCTCTTCTCATAATCCTTACATACAAGGCTCTTCTCACAATCCTTGCATACAAGGCTCTTCTCACAATCCTTGCATACAAGGCTCTTCTCATAATCCTTGCATACAAGGCTCTTCTCATAATCCTTGCATACAAGGCTCTTCTCATAATCCTTGCATACAAGGCTCTTCTCATAATCCTTGCATACAAGGCTCTTCTCATAATACATGTACGACATATACAAAACTCTCTAATATACCACACATACAAGACTTTCTACACATACCTTTAACACGATAATTTCTACATATACCACACACAAGATTTTCTACATATACCTCACATATAAATCTTTCTACATACACACACACATCTCAAACTCAGTGTAATAATCGACACCCCAAATCCTTTTCATTTGGTGGCATCTACTAAGATATAAACGAGCATAAAGGAACCCCAAGATGTGTTTTGAAAAAAGCTATTTCTGAGACTTGATGGCTTGCTATCATATTACCCATCTCATTATTCTTCTTTTGTCTAAACTTGTCTTTGTCAGGGTATTTAGCTTGCTAGACAATGGTTCTCTTCCAGACACGCCTTGACCTCATGAGTGATTGACATAGCTGGGTTTTCAAGAACTTTAGAAGATATATATATAGAATTGATAATTTAAGATAATAATAAACCAATCTTACCATTGGGAATAGAGGCGACGAGTGCAGCCGTTCTAAATGTGCTGACTAAATCAATTGAATGAGATAGCATTTATATGTAAGGGCAAGATCTCTATAGCACGTTGCCAACATCCCCCTGCAGTGGGGACCGGTTTAGATGCCTAATTCTTATAGTTTCAATTGCCAAGTACCCAACTGGTTCAGATGCATAATTCTCATAGTTTCAAGTGTCAAGTACCCAACTGGTTTAGATAAATAATTCTTAAAGTTTCAAGTGTCAATTATCCAACTGGTTTAGATTTCATTTCTTATAGTTTCAAGTACCCAACTGATTTAGATGCCTAATTCTTATAGTTTCAAGTACCCAACTGATTTAGATGCCTAATTCTTATATTTTCAAGTACCCAACTGATTTAGATGCCTAATTCTTATAGTTTCAAGTACCCAACTGATTTAGATGCATAATTCTTATAGTTTCAAGTACCCAACTGATTTAGATGCATAATTCTTATAGTTTCAAGTACCCAACTGATTTAGATGCATAATTCTTATAAGTGTGTTTGTGTGTGTGTGTGTGAGGGAGGGGGCGTACCAGTTTCTGGACGCTACTGATCAATATCAAAGGAATGGTAATGTCTAACCCTCCATGTGCTAAATCTTCTTTACTCTCCTCACCAAGATACTACCGTTTGTTCAACAGTGACCATGTTCTGGACACCGTAGCACAATGTCTGAGGCGCAGAAGGTCAAGGCTGATGGATATGGAGACAGCGTTATCAAACACTTCCAGAACCTGCGCACCGAGAATGAGCTGTGTGACTTCAAAGTGCTGGCCCAAGGTCGAGTCTTTGAGGTCAGTGTTTTTTTTTTTGCTGACCGCCCGATGGGTTTACTCGGGCTTGTATATTGTGACACTAGTAACTCTGTGCTCGTTCTTAAACCACATAATACTATGGTACTACTAAAAGTTGTCAAACTGTAGATTTAGCGCTGCTGAAATAGTCAACTACTGGTTGAAAATAATCTCCTAAACCATTTAGTTTCATCACCCCCTTTCTCTTTATAACCACCTCTCTTCTTTGTATAACCACCCCTATTCTTCTTTTTATAACCACCCCTCTTCTCTTTATAACCACCCCTCTTCTCTTTATAATCACCCCTCTTCTTCTTTTTATAACCACCCCTCTTCTTCTTTTTATAACCACCCCTCTTCTCTTTATACCCACCCCTCTTCTTCTTCTTTTTAAAACCAACCCTCTTCTTCTTTTTACAACCACCCCTCTTCTTCTTTTTATAACCACCCTTCTTCTTCTTTTTATAACCCCCCCTCTTCTCTTTATAACCAACCCTCTTCTCTTTATAACCACCCCTCTTCTCTTTATACCCACCCCTCTTCTTCTTTTTATAACCACCCCTCTTCTCTTTATACCCACCCCTCTTCTTCTTTTTATAACCACCCCTCTTCTTCTTTTTATAACCACCCCTCTTCTTCTTTTTATAACCACCNCCCTCTTCTTCTTTTTATAACCTCCCCTCTTCTTCTTTTTATAACCACCCCTCTTCTTCTTTTTATAACCAACCCTCTTCTTCTTTTTATAACCACCCCTCTTCTTCTTTTTATAACCACCCCTCTTCTTCTTTTTATAACCACCCCTCTTCTTCTTTTTATAACCACCCCTCTTCTCTTTATACCCACCCCTCTTCTTCTTTTTATAACCACCCACCCTTCTTCTCTTTATAACCACCCCTCTTCTTCTTTTTATAACCACCCCTCTTCTTCTTTTTATAACCACCCCTATTCTTCTTTTTATAACCACCCCTCTTCTCTTTATAACCACCCCTCTTCTCTCTTTACAACCACCCCTCAACCCCCACACCTCATCTGCCCTTTTCCCAAATCTTCCACTTGGTGTAGGTGCACCGAGCCCTGCTGGCTGCCACCAGCGACTACTTCCGGGTCATGTTCAAAGGGGTTATGGCTGAGAGCAGACAAGACACTGTGGATCTGAAAGGTGTTTCGGCTGATGGCCTCCAACAGGTCAGTCATGTATTCAACTTTTGTTTTTTGAAATCTGTGTGTAAATGTACGTTTCATTGAATGAGGTACTCATGGTTGGAAAGGTAGTAAGTGCCTTCGGGGTTGGGTAGCTAGTCCCACTCCTGTTTATGGGTAGGAGTCAAACTCCTTTAAGGGTAGATAGTCATACTCCTTTAAGGGTAGATAGTCATACTCAATTTTTTGGGGTAGCTTTCATACCCCTTTTGGGGATTAACAGTCTTACTCCTTTTTGAGGGGGGGGGGGCAGCGCATATCACCCATACTCTTTGGGGGGGGGGGGGTTAGCCTGGTCATCCTTTTTTTTTTTGAGGTGGGTTTGCTAGTCATTCTTTTTCTTTGGGGGTGGGTAGATAGTCATACTCCTTTAAGGGTAGATAGACATACTCAATTTTTTGGGGTAGCTTTCATACCCCTTTTGGGGATTAACAGTCTTACTCCTTTTTGAGGGGGGGGGGCAGCGCATATCACCCATACTCTTTGGGGGGAGCGGGGTTAGCCTGGTCATCCTTTTTTTTTTTGAGGTGGGTTTGCTAGTCATTCTTTTTCTTTGGGGGGAGGGGCAGGAGTCTTACCCCTTTTTGGGGTAGTATTCATACTCCTTGTTGCCTATGTTTATAAGGTTCTAACAAATTTAACCTTATTGGTACAAGAAAAATCCTGTAACAAAGGTCTGAAAATCAGTTTACAAAGAAAAATGATACCAAAGCCAGTGATATTAACAATATTCTATTTATACTTAAAATTCTGACAGTCATTCACTGTACCACACATTCACTGGTTGCACCACAAATTCACTCACTGCACCACACATTCACCCACTGTACCACACATTCACCCACTGTACCACACATTCACCCACTGTACCACACATTCACCCACTGTACCACACATTCACCCACTGTACCACACATTCACTACTATACCACACATTCACCCAATGTACCACACATTTCATTCACTGTACTGAACATTACTCAGCATACCACACATTCACCCACCATACCACTAATTCAGCCACATACTCCACATTCACTCACTGTACCATAAATTCACTCTCTGTACCACACATTCACTCACTATACCACACAGTCACCCAATGTACCACACATTTCATTCACTGTACCGAACATTACTCAGCATACCACAAATTCACCCACCATACCAATAATTCAGCCACATACTCCACATTCACTCACTGTACCATAAATTCACTCTCTGTACCACACATTCACTCACTGTACCACACATTCACTTGCTTTACCTCACATTCACCCTCTGTACCACTCATTCACTCAGTGTACCACACATTCACTCACTGAACCACACATTCACTCACTTTACCACACATTCACTCACTGAACCACAGGTTCACTCAGTGTACCACACATTCACTCACTGTACCACACATTCACTCACTGAACCACATGTTCACTCACTGAATCACAGGTTCACTCAGTGTACCACACATTCACTCACTGTACCACACGTTCACTCACTGTACCACACGTTTGCTCACTGTACCACACATTCACTCACTGTACCACATGTTCACTCACTGTACCACACGTTCACTCACTGTGCCACACAATAACTCACTGTACCACATATTGATTTGCTGTTTTGATCCACATTCACTGGCTAATTTAATTTCATCTATTTTTATTCCACTTACTGAAAAATAAAAATAAAATGTTTAAGAGATTGAGATTTCTGCACCACTTGTTTATATGGTAATATTTGTTTGAGTTCATATGGTAGAGACACTGACCAAATATTTGTCTTTATGGCAGAGTTTGTTATAGAGTTCAGATGGTAGAGAGACTGACCACACATTTGTCTATATGGCAGTGTTTGTTTAGTGATCAGATGGTTGAGACACGGACAGATCAATCTGGTTTCCTTCTCTGATTCCCACAGGTGATTGACTTCATCTACAGTGGGGAAATGACATTGTCTGATGAAAACTTGACTGAAGTCATCAACACTGCCAGCCACCTGCAGGTGGCCAGTGCCATCCATGTTTGTAGTTCTTACATCAAGGTCAGTGCAATAGGGGCCAGTGCCATCCATGTTTGTAGTTCTTACATCAAGGTCAGTGCCATAGAGGCCAGGGCCTTCCTTACTGCTAGCCATTAATTGCAGCCCTTGCCAATACTATTGGCCATGGATAATATCTCCATAATTTATTTGCTATGGATAACAACCCCAACCCCAACATAATTTATTTGACATGGATAAACATCCTTGTATTGCATAATTCTTTTTGCTATGGATAATAACCACTGGATATTTTATGGCCAGGGCTAACAACCCCTGCATATTTTACTTGCCATGGAGAACATTAGCATTGTATATAAACCCCTGCCCAATGTATTTGCTATGGTTAACAGCCCCCTGTATATTTCGGAGCAGGACTTTTTGGCGCTGCGGTTTTGGTGCGACAGTTTTGGCGCGACAGTTTTGGCGCGACAGTTTTGGCGCAGAGCCGTTTTGGCGCAGGACATTTTGGCCCCATTTAAAAATAACTTTTTATTTAACTTAACGTTGATAAATTTTAAATAAAGAGAATGCAAAATATATAAATTAAGAAACGTTTAAAAATAACTTTTTATTTAACGTTTATAAACTTTGAATAAAAATATATAAATTAAGAAACATTTAACGAGTTACTAGTGCCATGCAATATTTTACCTTTAGCAAATGCAAAATAATCAACTTATAACAACTTAATAATAGTTAATGAATCCTGTCTAATCTTGTACCTTTAAGAAGTCTTCCGAAATCCGTGTATATTAGTCCATCAAAAAATTATGGGCAAGTCCTCTAAGATGATGATGTTTGCATTATTGAAAGTTTATAAACTTTAAGTTAAATAAAAAGTTATTATTAAATGGCGCCAAAACGTCCTGCGCCAAAACGGCTCTGCGCCAAAACGGCTCTGCGCCAAAAGGGGGAGCCAAAACTCAGGTGTATATTTTACTTGCCATTCTTAAAATGAATTTATTTTAATGACCATGGATATTTTATTGGCCTTGGATAAAAACCATTCCATATTTAATTAGCCATGGATTAAAAAAAAACCTGGATAATTAATTTTATGGATAACTATCCATATAACACTGGCTCTTTTATTTGCCATGGATATCAACCCATAGGTAGTCCATTTGCTTTAAATTACAAATCGTTCATATTACACTTTAAAAAAACTCCTATTTATTCCTGTTCCACCATTCTAATTCAATGTTTAGTCCCTACTGACATTTGAGAACTACGAGGAGCTTCTGTCTATTGCTGATACCTACTCGCTGGATGAAGTCGTTGTGCACTGGGAAAATATGATCCATGAGCGCTTTGTGGAGTTCTCAGGGACACAGGTGAGTCTGATATGGGGGAGTCAGGTGTGAGGGAGTCAGATGTGGTGGAGTCTGATGTGGGGGCATCTGATGTGGGGAGTCTGATATGGGGGGAGTCTGATCTGGGGGAGTCTGATGTGGGGAGTCTGGTGTGGGGGGGGGTCTGATGTGGGGGAGACTGATGTTGGGGAGTCAGATGTGGGGGTGTTTGTTGGGACACACGTTGAATGTAGGGGAGTTCTCTGGGACACAGGTTAGATGTGGGGGAATAAGATATGTAGGAGAGTAAGAGTTTTGGGGGAGTTAGATTTAAGAAAGTTTGATGTGGCAGAGTTCTCAGGGATACGGGTTAAATGTGGGTGAATAAAATATGTAGGAGAGTAAGAGTTTTGGGGGAGTTAGATTTAAGAAAGTTTGATGTGGCAGAGTTCTCAGGGATACGGGTTAAATGTGGGGGAATAAGATATGTAGGAGAGTAAGAGTTTTGGGGGAGTTAGATTTAAGAAAGTTTGATGTGGCAGAGTTCTCAGGGATACGGGTTAAATGTGGGGGAATAAGATATGTAGGAGAGTAAGAGTTTTGGGGGAGTTAGATTTAAGAAAGTTTGATGTGGCAGAGTTCTCAGGGATACGGGTTAAATGTGGGGGAATAAGATATGTAGGAGAGTAAGAGTTTTGGGGGAGTTAGATTTAAGAAAGTTTGATGTGGCAGAGTTCTCAGGGATACGGGTTAAATGTGGGGGAATAAGATATGTAGGAGAGTAAGAGTTTTGGGGGAGTTAGATTTAAGGAAGTTTGATGTGGCAGAGTTCTCAGGGATAGGGGTTAAATGTGGGTGGTTCCCCTGGACCCAGGCTAGATGTGGGGGCATAAGATGTGGGGGCATAAGATGTGGGGGCAGGTCTCATGGAAACTGGTTAAGTGTGGGGGAGTTTCATATGCTGGAATATTTTCAGGGACACCATGTAAGTGTGAGGGAGTGTTATGTGCTTGAGTTTTCAGAGACACAATCAAGTTTAGGGGAATTTCCATATGCTGGAGTTTTCAATGATACTGGTTAAGTGTGGGGAAGTTTTCCATGTATGTGGATCTGTTACGGTTTACTTCACTGGTAGGGTCTTAGTGAATTTTAAGTTTAATTAGATTGATCTCTCTTTGAAATAGCTTTAAGTCAATAGGTTAGATATCTAGTTGGAAGTTTAATTATATGACTAGTTCTAAGAGCTTTAATCTATATGAAATACATTCTACTCATAATTTTTTGTCACCAGGCATTCCTGAAAATGGATGGAGACAAGCTGGCCCGTCATCTCTCACAAAACAACCTCAAAATACCATCAGAGTACCAGCTCTTTGTTACCTTGGACAAGTGGTTCAGGTATGGATGCTAAATTTAGTTACTTTGGACAAGTGGTTCAGGTATGGATGCTAAATTTTGTTACTTTGGACAAGTGGTTCAGGTATGGATGCTAAATTTTGTTATCTTGGGTAAGTGGTTCAGGTATGGATGCTAAATTTTGTTACTTTGGACAAGTGGTTCAGGTATGGATGCTACATTTTGTTACTTTGGACAAGTGGTTCAGGTATGGATGCTACATTTTGTTACTTTGGACAAGTGGTTCAGGTATGGATGCTAAATTTTGTTACTTTAGACAAGTGGTTCAGGCATGGATGCTAAATTTTGTTACTTTAGACAAGTGGTTCAGGTATGGATGCTAAATTTTGTTATCTTGGACACGTGGTTCAGGTATGGATACTAAATTTTGTTATCTTGGACAAGTGGTTCAGGTATGGATGCTAAATTTTGTTATCTTGGACAAGTGGTTAAGGTATGGATGCTAAATTTTGTTATCTTGGACACGTGGTTCAGGTATGGATACTAAATTTTGTTATCTTGGACAAGTGGTTCAGGTATGGATGCTAAATTTTGTTATCTTGGACAAGTGGTTCAGGTATGGATGCTAAATTTTGTTATTTTGGACAAGTGGTTCTGGTATGGATGCTAAATTTTGTTATCTTGGACAAGTGGTTCAGGTATAAATGCTTTTAAGTAAACATGCAATGACAGAGGTGCCAAACTAACAATCAATGACAGATGCCAAACAAACAATCAATGACAGATGCCAAACAATTAATGACAGATTCCAAACATACAATCAATGACAGATGCCAAACAATCAATGACAGATGGCAAACATACAATGACAGATGCCAAACAAACAATCAATGACATAGGTGCCAAACAAACAATGACAGATGCCAAACAATCAATGACAGGTGCCAAACAATTGATGACAGATGGCAAACATACAATCAATGACAGATGCCAAACAAACAAAACAATCAATGACAGAAATGTTGAATAATCAAGTAATGAAGAAAAATGTACTATTTGTGAGACAAGAAATCTTATTTTTCTTAGTTATAAAAAACTCTTCAATTGGGTTTCACTTTGTATGTTGTAGTATGTTTCTATGTAGATGAATTTGCCCCATGCTGCTTAGGGCATCCAAATGTAGATGAATGTGCCCCATGCTGCTTAGGGCATCCAAATGTAGATGAATGTGCCCTATGCTGCTTAGGGCATCCAAATGTAGATGAATGTGCCCCATGCTGTGTAGGGCATCAACATATCTAAATGTAGATGAATGTTCCCTATGCTGTTTAGGGCATCTAAATATCTACATGTAGATGAATGTGCCCCATGCTGTGTAGAGCATCTAAATATCTAAATGTAGATGAATGTGCCCCATGCTGTGTAGGGCATCTAAATGTAGATGAAATGCCCCATTCTGCATAGGGCATCCAAATATCTAAATGTAGATAAATGTGCCCCATCCTGCATAGGGCATCTAAATATCTAAATATAGATGAATGTGTCCCATGCTGCATAGGGCATCCAAATATCTAAATGTAGATGAATGTGCCCCATGCTGCGTAGGGCATCTAAATGTAGATGAATGTGCCCCATGCTGCATAAGGCATCCAAATATCCAAATGTAGATGAATGTGCCCCATGCTGCGTAGGGCATCTAAATGTAGATGAATGTGCCCCATGCTGCATAAGGCATCCAAATATCCAAATGTAGGTGAATGTGCCCCATGCTGCGTAGGGCATCTAAATGTAGATGAATGTGCCCCATGCTGGATAAGGCATCCAAATATCCAAATGTAGATGGATGTGCCACCTGCTGCATAGGGCATCCTAATAGGTTGAATATCAAATAACTATTTGAGGTACTTGATTTAGGATTTGAAGAAAAGTTTGGTCAACTATCCAAACTGTTGATGAACACTGGGGCCTTGGGGTTCTTTCTCTAATGTTTACATCATCATCATCCAAATTCAGAGGCCATTTTGGCATGTGCCCTTTTGCCTTCGCGATGAAGAATTTTGATGTTTGTTTTTTTATTTGTTGTGCAAGTGGTCAATTAGCAGACCTGTTTACCCCCAAACTCTTAAAATCGTACAATATTATCACAAAATCGTTCAATACATTATATTGATAGTAAAAAAAATAAATATACAGTATATATAATGTGCACATCTCAAAATCTTACATTGTATGCCAAAAGAGTAAAGAGGTCTGTATTAGTTTTCCATGGGTGTAAGATAGGTCAAGACTGAACATATTAAAACAGATTCACTTGGACAGGTGTTCAAGGGTTTAAATAAAACACCTTCTAGGAGCAGTTGGATTTTTTTTCCTTGATTTGACCTCCACAGATTTCAGGCAAATCGCATCAGCCAAGACTCGGCCAAGCTGCTGGGTAATATCAGGTTCGGCTTGATGTCCGAGCAGGAGCTTACACAGATCAGAGATTCCGACACCATCAAACGGTGCCCTGTGGGGCAGGCCATGATTGCAAAGGGCTACCACTATCATATGGATAGTAAAAAAGGTTTGCCATTAACATTTGTGTCTGTTAAATTGCTGTAGGTCTGCACATTGAAAATCATAATCATTGCTATAAGACTGGTCTTCACAATATACAACCTGTGAGCGGCCTGTGTCCTGACAGCACCCACTTTGCGGCCCGCGAAGTAAAGAAATATTCTTTTTTTATTATGTTCTTAATAGCTCCCCCGCCCCCAACGTTCTATTTTATTTCGGCGCGCACAAGTTTTATCATAAAGTATTAGAGAGTGTCTTACATTTTGAATCGTGCAGACCTGCTATTAGAGGTAAGGTGTTCATATTGAATGTATTTTTATGGTTTGTACAATTAGTTGTAGTTTTGTTATGTGTAATTTTCATTGTTTTGAATTATAAACAAATCAATTTTTTTACCCCTAAAAATGGGAAGTTGATGACTAAAAAGGATCATGTATGAGGGGCTGCATTCAAGCTGTGTGAAGGAAATAATGGGACAAGGTATGTGAAAGCTTGAATGAAAAGACATGACAATAAGATTTGAACTTTTCAGCTAAGTGCCTACCCCAGCAGACTGGAAAGATGAAAAATACGACAAGAAATAGAGCAAACTTGAGTGATCGCCATTGTTATAGTCGGAAGTTGGATATGGAACTAATCAAATATTCTCCTACTAATGATTCTCAATTTCCCTGTATTTCTTTTTCTTTCTTCTTATTTCTTATAGTTTTATTGATCCTTAAAATGTTTTGGTCCCTTAAGATTTAAGAACCTTGTATTTCACACTAACAATATATATTCTTTCACTTCCTGTAATCTTGGTTTTGAAAAATCCAACTTCCAGCTATAACAATGGTGATCACTTAAGTTTTTAACTAATATTTTAATTTTTCCTATCTGCTGAGGAAGGCTCTTAGCCGAAGGTTCATATCTAATTGTCTTGTCTTTTGATTCAAACTTCCACATGCCTTGACCTACTATTTACTGATGACTGTAAGAATTTTTTAATGATCTCCAGTTTTCATAACCTCTGTGCTGTTAAATTATTTCATGACCCCAAGTTTTCACTTACTTGGCCTTAGTAATCTCATCCTGTCTGTGCAACCATTTACTTGGCCATAGCAATCTCATCCTGTCTATGAAGCCATTTACATGGCCAAATGATCTCATCCTGTCTGTGCAGCCATTTACTTGGCCAAGTAATCTCATCCTGTCTGTGCAGCCACTTACTTGGCCAAGTGATCTCATCCTGTCTGTGCAGCCATTTACTTGGCCAAGTGATCTCATCCTATCTGTGCAGCCACTTACTTGGCCATAGTAATCTCATCATGACTGTGCAGCCACTTACTTGGCCATAGTAATCTCATCCTGTCTGTGTAGCCACTTACTTGGCCAAGTGATCTCATCCTATCTGTGCAGCCACTTACTTGGCCATAGTAATCTCATCCTGACTGTGCAGCCACTTACTTGGCCATAGTAATCTCATCCTGTCTGTGCAGCCACTTACTTGGCCAAGTGATTTCATCCTGCAGCCACTTACTTGGCCAAGTGATCTCATCCTGACTGTGCAGCCACTTACTTGGCCATAGTAATCTCATCCTGTCTGTGCATCCATTTACTTGGCCAAGTGATCTCATCCTGTAGCCACTACTTGGCCATAGTAATCTCATCCTGTCTGTGCAGCCACTTACTTGGGAAAGTGATTTCATCCTGCAGCCACTTACTTGGCCAAGTGATCTCATCCTGTCTGTGCAGCCATTTACTTGGCCAAGTGATCTCATCCTGCAGCCACTTACTTGGCCAAGTGATCTCATCCTGTCTGTGCAGCCATTTACTTGGCCATAGTAATCTCATCCGGTCTGTGCATCCATTTACTTGGCCAAGTGATCTCGTCCTGCAGCCACTTACTTGGCCAAGTGATCTCATCCTATCTGTGCAGCCATTTACTTGGCCATAGTAATCTCATCCTGACTGTGCATCCATTTACTTGGCCAAGTGATCTCATCCTGCAGCCACTACTTGGCCATAGTAATCTCATCCTGTCTGTGCAGCCACTTACTTGGCCAAGTGATTTCATCCTGCAGCCACTTACTTGGCCAAGTGATCTCATCCTATCTGTGCAGCCACTTACTTGGCCATAGTAATCTCATCCTGTCTGTGCATCCATTTACTTGGCCAAGTGATCTCATCCTGCAGCCACTTACTTGGCCATAGTAATCTCATCCTGTCTGTGCATCCATTTACTTGGCCAAGTGATCTCATCCTGCAGCCACTTACTTGGCCATAGTAATCTCATCCTGTCTGTGCATCCATTTACTTGGCCAAGCGATCTCATCCTACAGGTACTACTTGGCCAAGTGATCTCATCCTGCAGCCACTTACTTGGCCATAGTAATCTCATCCTGTATATGCAACCATTTACTTGGCCAAGTGATCTCATCCTGTCTGTGCAGCCATTTACTTGGCGAAAGTAGTCTCATCCTGTCTCTGCAGCCACTTACTTGGCCAAAGTAATCTCATCCTATCTGTGTAGCCACTTACTTGGCCAAAGTAATCTCATCCTATCTGTGCAGCCACTTACTTGGCCAAGTGATCTTATCCTGTCTATGCTACCACTTACTTGGCCAAAGTAATCTCATCCTTCTGTGCAGCCACTTACTTGGCCAAAGTAATCTCATCCTATCTGTGCAGCCACTTACTTGGCCAAAGTAATCTCATCCTGTGCTGCCACTTTCTCCTCTTGGAACCACTTGTTTTAATTGTCATCTGTTAATGCCCCCTACTTTTGAGGAACCCTGGTTTAAAAAGTAATCTAATATAACCACTCACATTGGGAACCCCTGTTAAAAAAGTTTAAAGAGCTTTCATTAATTGTGGCTCCATCACGTTTTCCCCCCAAAAATATTACTCTTGTCTGTGTGTAAAAAAAAAATTTGCCAAGACATCTATCTCCATTTCAGGACACCCCACCATTGATGAGCACTGCAAGGTCAGGGCCAATGATCCAGCCATTGTGATGGTGCATCTTGGTACAACCCACATGCCCTTCCAGATTACAGCATTCAATCCAGCCACCAAATTGTTCTACTCTCTTTTCTGTGATGTCAACGGGATACGTGACTGCCGAGTTGCCTCTGTCGACAACTTTGCCTACATTTGCCGCGTTATCGACTTTGGTGGCGGCACCTTGATGAGCTCACTGTTCAGGTTCGACCCCAGACATTTGATTGGTCATGAACTGCGGCCAATGAGGCGTCTGCGGTTGGAGTTTGCATGCGTTTCACATTCAAGATGTCTGTATGCATTTGGCGGGACAACAGAACAGTTTGCAATTCTGGACTCTGTGGAGTGCTACAATGTCCAATCTAACACATGGGATGAGCTGCAGCCACTTCCAGCCCCCACACACTCCCTTGCAGCCGTATCTCATGGCACCAAAATCTACCTCTCTGGTGGTGTCTCGGGTCAGGACCGAGCCATTGTCGCCAGTTTCATCAGTTATGACCCAGTGACCAGGCGCTATGAGGCCAAGCCAAGCATGTTCTACCCTCGGCGTCTTCACGACATGATAGCCTTCAAAACAAAGATCTTTGCCCTTGGTGGCATAACTCGGCAGGGAATTCCTCTCTACGGACAGATTCCAATAGAAAGTTTTGACATGACCACAAACCAGTGGACGATGCTGTCGTCCACTCTCGGGGGACGCTCAGTCGGCCATTACCTGTTTCTCGATGAGGGCCAGATACTATCATTGGGCCACGAGCACCACAGCGCAACGGAAGAAGAGATGTGGCTTTATCAGCCGGACACCGACTCGTGGTCCAAGTACTCTAAGGCACCCCAGAGGATGAGCCTGAACTCAGCCCTCAGCACTCAGCTGTACATCAACTTCTTCCAGGAGAAAGTGGCTGCGAAAATCATGAAAGACAGGTGAGCAGCGGTTACCAGGCTGACTCGAAGGAAAACCTTATTTCTTCCCCTGGCCTATGGAGAGCTGCTGCATAACTCTAGGGAGAAGTTGGTGCTGAGAGCATTGCCCAGTGTTTGTTAAGCAGGATCATCTCAGCTTGTAATTTTATTTGGTATACATAGGCATGATGTTGGCTGTTGATATGTTCAGTGGAATTAAGTGTTCACATGCAGAGCGTGCTGCGTATTAATGCATTTAGAAAAAAAATCAGGAGCACATGTTGAAATGCTTGAACTACTCACTGCAGGAGGGGAAGCAATCCAAACTACAAGTTGCAAAGAAGGGGAATTTACACCACCCCCCTGCAAGGTTAAGGAAACGGGGCCCCCATACATTTCAAGTACATACATTTTAAGGTAGTGGTACCCACACTCTAAGTTGATGTATTTTAACAATTGACCTATCGTGTGTTGTGGTAATATCTGCGTATGGTGGCAACACTCATTTCTCAGTGTGGTGGCAACACTGTAATATCTGCATATGGCGGCAACACTAATATCTCAGTATGGTGGCCACACTGTGTAATATCTGCGTATGGTGGCAACACTAATATTTAAGTATGGTGGCAACACTGTGTAATATCTGCGTATGGTGGCAACACCAATATCTCAGTATGGCGGCACACCTGCAGAACAAACTGACAGTGCCACACAACGTTCAGCTCTGGATTATCTTTGTATATTTTCTGAATGAACAACTCTAAACTGTCATTATTGCTGGATGAACTGCTCCTAGTCCCAGATGGAGCCAATCAAGGGAAAATGCCAAAATATAAAATTAACATTGGAGTGCTAGATAGTCTTGCTCATGTTTTTTTCTTTTTTTGTAAAAATTAGATTTAAATTGAACGTTTAGAACCTTAATTTCCTGTAGTTCCATGTACAAGATGCACTTTCCTGACCTGACTATACTAAAAGTAAATTTTTACCATAACATCTGTTTACAAGATGCACTTTCCTGACCTGACTATACTAAAAGTAAATTTTTACCATAAAATCCATGTACAAGATGCACTTTCCTGACCTGACTGTACTAAAAGTTAACTTTTACCCTAAAATTCATGTACAAGATTAACTGTCTTGACAAGACTGTACTACACGTTCATTCTTACAATAACATTCATGTTAAAGGATGCACTGTCTTATTCGCATACAATTTCAATTCTACTTTACAAGAACAATTGGCACTTAAGCTCTTGAGTATTCAATTTCATATGATTCAGAAAATTCAGGCAAAGACGATTCTCAACTCTTTTGCACTTGGACACATGTTGGTTTGAATATTCTTTGCTGGCTTCACCAAACTCTTTGGATTTTTTTCAGCCACAGCAATGTTGGAGTTGGGGACTAAATCAAGTTTCTCTGTAACCCACCATTCTCAATTACCCAAATTCATCCACCTCGGTACCCTTCAGGCCCCAAATACTAAACCTGCATTGATTAATGCAGTGTAGAGACGGGTATGCTTTGGGATTTGACCTCATCCATAAAATGTTTTCAGCTAGCTAAGCTAAAGAAGTGTCACAGTTCTGCTATAGTTTTGGTTGAAGGATGAGCTGGTGAATGGTGTACCAGTCATTGTTTCTGTAACTGGTAGCACGTAGGAATCTCTTTACTGAACAATTTGTTGATCCATAAAATTGGATCAGGCTAAGGGCAGTGTCATGTTATGGTGAGGTTTTAAATCATGTGCGACGGAAGACAGATTTCAGGAGCCATGCCACGACAATGTTATATCCAAATTGGCACCTAGAGTGCAGTATTTTATATAGCTTGGGCTGGATGTGGTATTCTGTCCTTGGCCCTCAGCTTGGATTGGATGGTGCACTTCTGTCCTTTGCATGGATTGGATGGTTTAAGCTTCTGTCCTTATCTTTGATGGTTAAGGCTTCTGTCCTTATCTTGGATGGTTTAGGCTCCTGTCCTTATCTTGGATGGTTTAGGCTTCTGTCCTTATTTTGGATGGTTTAGGCTTCTGTCCTTATCTTGGATGGTTTAGGCTCCTGTTCTTACTTTGGATGGTTTAGGCTTCTGTCCTTATTTTGGATGAGATGGTTAAGGCTTCTGTCCTTATCTTGGATGGTTTAGGCTCCTGTCCTTATCTTGGATGGTTTAGGCTTCTGTCCTTATTTTGGATGAGATGGTTAAGGCTTCTGTCCTTATCTTGGATGGTTTAGGCTCCTGTCCTTATCTTGGATAGTTTAGGCTTCTGTCCTTATTTTGGATGGTTTAGGCTTCTGTCCTTATCTTGGATGGTGTAGGCTCCTGTTCTTACTTTGGATGGTTTAGGCTTCTGTCCTTATTTTGGATGGTTTAGGCTCCTGTCCTTATCTTGGATAGTTTAGGCTCCTGTCCTTATCTTGGATGGTTTAGGCTTCTGTCCTTATCTTGGATGGTTTATGCTCCTGTCCTTAATTGGAGTGAGCTTCTGCCCTTTACTATTAATAAAGTCATTGTCTGTCTTCATTTTTCTTCCCCTGAGAATTGTGACCTGTCTTCCAAGAAAATGGTGTATTCGAAATTTAATAAGCTCTCGTTTTCTTAGTCAACTGTTGCTTGAACAAAAACAACATGACGCATGTTGGGCCAGAGATTTTGTTATGTTGAAAATTACTTGCTGCTTTATTGTACCATCTGGCATTATCAATACATTACTGTACTTGTACTGATTGTTTCTTTAGTGCATGTACATTGCAAGGGCTTTTCCCTTTTCATTCCAGACAGAAGAATGAGTCCATGAAATGAAGCTTACCTCAGTAGCTCTTATAAAGGCGTTGCGAGCACACACTCAAGCTTGTGAACTCCTGAGACATGACCACCCCCACTCTTTTTATATACCTGAAAGTTCACAGAATTAGACAACCTAAAGTCTCCCCTTAAATGTACCGCAAAAACTTCACTAGCTAAGAAGTCTACCCCCCCTTTCCCCTCAATTTCCCAATATAAATATGCACACATACCCTCACAAAAATTTTTCCTCTCATAACATATTACCTAAGGGAAATCACCCTTTCAGTAACTTTCACATTGATAAGTTAAGGGAACTTTCAGAATTAAAAAGATGGTCAGTTTTGAAAAATGACTTTGACTTATTGTTATTTCATAAGATGATGGAGATTATTATAATTATAATGTTGAAGTGGAATTTCAACATCCCAGATTTTTAAAATAAATAAATAACCCACTAGGTGCCCTAATACATTCTTTATACAACCCACCAGACAAGTCATTTCCAATAAGTTCCTTAGACAGCCCAACAGGCAAGTCATTTCCAATAAGTTCTTTAGACAGCCCACCAGGCAAGTCATTTCCAATAAGTTTTTTAGACAACCCACCATGCATGTCATTTCCAATATGTTCTTTAGACAACCCACCATACATGTCATTTCCAATAAGTTCTTTAGACAACCCACTAGGCATGTCATTTCAAAAATTAGATTAAGTTTGAAATTTAATTCTAGCATGCCTGCCACATGCAACAAACAAATTGTATAATCTGAGATGGTTGATTGTGTCAAAGATACTGTGTATCTGTTTGTGCCAGTGACGTGGTTGATTATGTCAAAGATACTGTGTTCTATTTGTGGCAGTGACATGGTTGATATACCATTACAGACCTGTTTACCCTAACTCTTAAAATTGACAAATCATGGTAAAATCGTTCAATACATTATCTTAATGGTAAAAGAATAAACTTAAAGCATATGTAATGTATACACCTCAAAATTGCACATTGTACGCCAAAATCGTAAGAGTAAACAGGTCTGCCATTACAACATACCTCATAGGACCTACCCTTTAGCCAACTGCAACATACCTCATATGACCTGACCTTTTCCTTACTGCAACATACCTCAGTAGGACCTACCCTTTCACCTAATACAACATACCTCATATGACCTGACCTTTTCCTTACTGCAACATACCTCAGTAGGACCTACCCTTTCACCTAATACAACATACCTCAGTAGGACCTACCCTTTCACCTACTACAACATACCTCATAGGACCTAAACTTTTCCCTAATGCAACATACCTCATAAGTCCTACCCTTTCCACAACTACAACATACCTCATAAGACCTACCCTTTCCACAACTACAACATACCTCATAAGACCTACCCTTTCCACAACTACAACATACCTCATAAGACCTACCCTTTCCACAACTACAACATGCCTCATAAGACCTACCCTTTCCACAACTACAACATACCTCATAAGACCTACCCTTTACCTTACTACATCATGCCCATAGGAACTACCCTTTCCCCTACTACAATACCTCATAAGACCTAAACCTTATCCCATCTACAACATACCTCCTAGGGCCTACGCTTTCTCCTACCACAGCATACCTCATAGGGCCTACCTTTTACCCAACTACAACATACCTCCTAGGGCCTACGCTTTCTCCTACCACAGCATACCTCATAGGGCCCACCTTTTACCCAACTACAACATACCTTCTAGGGCCTACGCTTTCTCCTACCACAGCATACCTCATAGGGCCTACCTTTTACCCAACTACAACATACCTCACATGACCTACCTTTTCCCCTACTACAACATACCTCACATGACCTACCTTTTCCCCTACTACAACATGACCTACCTTTTCCCCTACTACAACAAACCTCTCAGGATATTTCCCTTACTGCAAGATTCCTGATGATCTCAAGTTCAAGGAAATGCTAGATCCACGTCTTACACAAGTGTTCATATTCCCATTCATCATGGAACCTCATTTTGGCCACTTAGTAAGCTTACTGTACTGGTAGAATTTGTGTTTTATTTCAAATCTTTCACTGATTCTGTATACTTTTAAAATGTACATAGTTTGTTTTTTTTCTTCTTAAAGCATACACAACACTGACTGATACAGATTTTTATTTTTTTTTTGCTTTTGAAAGACCATTCAATGACATCTATAGCACAGCAAAGAAAATGTCTGCATGATATTTT